TAAGCTTAACGATACATTTGGAATCAGACCAAATATCTGTGAATTTACAGATTGTTGGTTCAGTGATGTAATAATCTGACTACAAAAAGCGGTTATTAAATATAATTTAATTCCGTAGTATTTTCATATTATCATCAAGTTTCTATTTATTAGTTTTATTGAGGAAAAGTATGTCACATTTTTATTTTCTTTATAGTGACCAACTAACTATATTTATCCGTATTTCTGTTGTACGGAAAAGTTGTCTTGTCTTCAGTAACCGCGTTCGTAAAAGATGGATATAGAGTTACTCATTCAGTAAAGCATTATAGTTATTGAAAGTGATTTTCATCATTTTAATTAATTAATAACCGTATTAATAAGAGAAATGTAACAACTAGCAACTTAATATTTTCAATAAAATTTTTAACTTGAATTGATACCCCGCTAAATTAGTGGATTGGTACTTATTAGAACCAAACTGTACTCGCAATTTATAGTCATCATCTATTAAATGAGAAGTGTAATATGATAAAAGTATTTAGATTGATAAACCTGACCAGCACAATCTTATCACTTTGAAAAGCCACTAACAGCATACCCCTCAGTTATGACAAAACAGATATGTAACTTGGTATCATAGCTTTATCAACACATGAATCCGAGCAGTAATCTTTAAGATGTACTGGTTTGGACTCACTTTTTCCCGAAAATTTGATTTATGTTGAGTATATCGACTAAATCCTACTTAAACAAATAAATAATAAGATAAAAAGTTTTTCAGACGAGGGATCATTGAAAAGAGTTCATGAATTTGGTCCTAATTGTTATCAAATATTTGTACTAAACAATCTCAACAAATAGAAACGGTTACCTAGAGTTTCTTAACTATTTCAATGACTCTCCAGCCCGAGTTATTTCGTGATGAAAATTACTTTGAAACTGAGCAATATCTTAACATTAGCTCTTCAATAAAATACAAAACGTGAACATTCGTAACGAGATTCCTTTGCACTCCATTTTTTTGTTCGACGGAATACTACTTGTTATTAACAAGTAGTTTGAGTTATATATAGTCATTTCCAGGCTTTATGTAGCAGTGAGTACTCGAGCGTGTCTATCCTACAATTAAGTAATACGAGATTATTAACTGTTATCCATTTCCTGAGGAAAAAGACTTAATCTGTATCTAAGTGTACATTCCATAATCTACAAAAATAATCATATAGTTGATAGCAAATTATTTAAAATGCTGTTTGATTAGTTGAGTCCTTCACGTTAAGAACAGTTATCAAATTCCAATTCTTAAAATTAATTTTAATAACGGAGTACTCCTCATAATACAGCAATTCGAAAGAATAGATTTGCAAAAACTTTAACCGTTTATTCATACCTGTGGTTATTAGATTGTGTGGAATGCATTTGTAGTATAGAAAACAGGGGATATAATATACAATAATATTAGACGGAATCTTTTTTTTAACGCTAATTGTTTAGTCACTTATATAATTACGAAGAGAACTAATGCTATTTGGGTATTTAGTCATAGGATCTCGCTAACGTCTACTGATAATTAGAATCACAGTAAGCCATGACTTCCATCATGATCAATATTATGTGCTACTGAAATGGTATATATGAGTATAGGTATGAGATATATCTGATTTTGCCCAACTTGTCATTGTTCATATTGAGACTCGAACTTTATAACCTAAAATGTTTTAAACGAAAAACTACTCTATATTAAGCTTCTGAGTTCAGTTAACCATAAACTTGTTCAACAGATATGAAGTTACATAAAACAGTTTGAATCTCACCATTATTGATACTAAAGACTAATTGATCAGTCTCCATATTCAAATCTTTTATATACAAATTCATTTTAATATCATACCTTTGTAAATGTTCACATTATGTTAATAAAATGTTGGAGGTATTCCTTTACTTTTCAAAAAATGCCAATTTTTATGAATAGATACCTAGGTCTCTTAACTGAGGTGTCCTCAACAATGTTATTGAAGATAACATCCTTGTTCAGGTAATCAAGTAATAGGTGAAACGATTCCTAAAATTGTAACTAACTGGTTGTAAGAAAAATCTTCAGATCACAGCTTAACAACATTAAATGACAATTATTCATTTTTATTGGGATCGTGAAATGATTAGTGTTCGACCACCATCGAGGACCTGGAAGCACTGGGCGATCCCTTCGGTCCTAGCGCAGGACTCTCAGCAGTACTCATCTACGATCCCGTACAAAGCTACGTCAGCTTCACAGAACCATACTACAGAGGACCAGATCGATCACATTTACATTAGTAAAAAAACTAAATCTAGGGAAGCAGTGATTAACTGGAGAAACGGCATGACAAAGGTTAAATACAGCGTTCTTTCGACATACTGACAAAATCAATCAAATCAAGATAGCTCTTAACAACAGGTTCCAAGCTTTACAAGACCTACTCATAGAAGAAGAAACTACGATGGAGTACAACTGGAAATGGATCAAAGAAGCACTAACTTCAACGTTTCAGGAGGTGATGGGTTACAACAAGCATAATCATAAGAAATGGATCTCTATGGGAACCATGAACAAGGTTCAAGAAAGTAAGAACAAGAAAATAACAATTACCAACAGCCGAACAAGTGCAGAAAAAGTCAAGGCACAAGCTGAATACACAGAAGCAAACAAGCAAGTAGAGAACAACATTAGAGTCATCAAGCAGAGATACGTGGAACAGCTAACAACGATAGCGGAAAATGCTTCAAGAGAAGGAAATATGAGACAGCTATATGACATTACGAAGAAACTAGCAGGGAAACATAGCAAACCAGATAGACTAGCCAAGGATAAAGGTGAGATAATCACTGAGATTCAAGAACAGAGTAACAGATGGGTAGAACACTTTGAAGACCTCCTGAATAGGTCAGATCCATTGAGTCCACCGTACATCGAAGCAGCACACAAATACTGCCCTATAGATGTCACTCCACCAACGACCGACGAAATCAGGATGGTCATCAGACGAATCAATGGTTGGAAAGCAGTAGGACCTGGTAATATACCAGCTGAAGCTCTGAAGTCAGACATAGAAGTAACTGTAAGCATGCTTCACAGTTTATTCAGGAAGACTCGGGAGGAAGAACAAATGCCACCGATGGACTAGAAAGAAGGATACCTCATCAAGATTCCAAAGAAAGGAGATCTGAGCAAATGTGAGAACAACAGAGGAATCACACTACTGTCAGTAACAGGAAACATTTTCGACAGTGTTGCCGAACCAAATGAAGGGTTCAGCAGATGTCCAACTTCCAGATCAACAGACCGGATTCCGTAAGGATCGGTAGTAAGCAGACCAAATCGCCAAACTACGGATGATCGCTGAAAAACCATTTGAGTGGAACTTGTCACTATACATCAACTTCCTTGACTATGAGAAAGCTTTTGAGTGTGGATAGAAGGACCTTATGGAATCTTCTTCGACACCATGGTGTACGTGAGAAAATCACCAACACCATCCGGGATTCATACGACGGACTACATTGCAAAGTCGTGCATGTAATACAGCTGACATATGCACTCCAAGTGAAGACCAGTATCAGACATGGCCGCTTACTTTCACCCTTTCTCTTTCTTCTGGTGGTTGATTGGATTATGAAGACCTTTGCATCTGAGGGAAGGCACGGAATACAATGGATAGCTTGAATGCAACTAGACGATTTGGACTTCGCAAATGACCTAACTCTTTTATCCAATACTCACCAACAAATACAGGTGAAAATAGCCAGCGTAGCAGTAGTAGGTCTCAACATACACAAGGGAAAAAGCATGACCCTAAAATATAACACAGAGCACCAACCCAATAACATTTTATGCTCTAGAAGTGGTGGAAACGTTTACGTGCTTAACTAGGATATATGACTGATAAACGATGGGGATCTGATGCAGCTGTGAAAGTGTAGTGTGTGGTGCTGCGTCAACCCCACATAGGTTATTCTACCTTCCGGAGAGACCAGCTTATTTATCCATCCTGAGTCACATTTTGACTTTGTAAATTATTCTTTTACTAACCCTGACTGTTTTTATATGAGCGTGTGTGAGTATTGCTTACACTATTCATCGTACGTTTAGAGCTTATTTCTTTCTGGTTATAAATAGAGTCAAGCTTGATCAAATGGAACTGGCACGGTTGCCTCATCCGCTTTGTTTTTCTGATTGTCTGTCTGGACCAACCAGTGCATGAAATATACGTATCCAATATTCATTTTCGTATTTATTCCGTTATTTTTTAAGGAGAATCAAGTCGATAATTATAAACGACGGTAGCCGGAATGTATATTCCATTAAATTAATCGTCCGATCAAGTTGAACTCAAATCAATAGAGCACAAAAAAGACATAAACTGAAGAAGTAAGGGCACAGCATTCTTACAATTAAAGAATATCTGAAACTCAAAACAGCTGTCAAACAACAACAAATTCAGAATCTTCAATACAAACACCAAGACAGTTTGGTTGTATAGAGCTGAGACTTGCAGGACTACTACAACCATCATCATCAAAAAGGTATAGGCATTTATAAGTAGTTGTCTACGCAAGATACTCAATATCCGTTGGCAAGTCACCATCAGCAACAATCTACTGTGACAGAGAACAAATCAGCTTCTCGTTGAAGAGTAGACCAGGAAAAGATCCTGAAGGTGAAATAAGACATACTGAGGAAATCATCAAACTGTATCAAAAAACATGCTTCGACGTGGAATTCTCACATCAAAAGAAAGAAGCAAATAAAAAACACTGTGTATGGAATTGGAAGCAGACATTACAAGGAACAATAGAACTTGGCAACAAATGGAAAAAAGAGCCTAGGACAGAGTAGATTGGAGATTACGAGTCGACCGCCTATGCTCCAAGAGGGGTAACAGGCTTAAGTAAGTGAGTGTCACAGGAAAGAACACAGTTATTAACGTTCATTGTTCGAGATGATATGGCCAAGGTGCGAGAAGTGAATTATGTTATATCAAAAACGAAAGCTTCTATTTGTTGCATGTTCTAAATTATTTGACAAAACAAGCAAATTAATATATGAGCATTTAGGAAAATAATTAGCTGATGTATTTACAAGGTATCATCACCAACAAGATATGTCACAATTATTAAGTTCTCTTCTCTCTTGCTACTAATAGTATGATTCTGGTCTGAATAAACTCGGTGATTCAACACGGTTCAGTAAAGAAGTTGAAGCCATTTCCATTTCTTCCAACTGATCAGTTAAACCTTCAGCTAACTTTTTAGGAGATAATAGTACATTTTGACTGTTGATCTCATCATCACAATTCAAAAGGTCCGAAAGTAGAATAGCTGGAGGATACTCGCCACCATGACATAATAATTTTTCCATATAAAGCTAGAATGGAAAATGTAAAAAGAGAATACAAGTTATTAATAGAATGGGATTGAACAGACAGATTTTATTGTTTGTAAAACATACTACTGGATTATATAAGTAGTTAAAATCTACTTATAACATTAATCAAAAGTGATTTATAAACTGAGACATATATGGTCCTAAACAAAACTATACCAAGCTGAATAGTTTTTTAACGTTTAATTAGATATGTCCAGTAAATGGAGATAAATAAATCTAAAAAAACACTTGAAGTATCCTCAACTCGAAATGAGAAGTGTAAAATTTCACCGCAACTACTTATTTAGTTATGCGACATTAACCAGCTAGGAATAATTTTCAATTAACTATATTATCTGGTAATACAAATGGATGTATAGCTATAACTGACTGACCACTATGTGTTCACCAATTTTATGTCTGTTTAGTCCTTTATAGTGACGAATTTGTAATGTGGTTCTAATATAAGTGAATCGTGAGCGAAGCATTGTGTTGAGATGTTAAGTGGTTGGAGGTAGTCAGTAGGAAATACTGGATCTCAGTTTCATATCTTTTGGAATTCATCAGCAAGATATACTTGAAGTCTTGAGGGAATCGATGTTCTGAGTTATGCTGTTATGATGCAGATCCAGTTTAACAAAAACCTTTAAATATACCAGTAATGATGAAGATAACGATGTGGAACAATTCCCTTTTTTATCAACATCTAAGACTCATATATAAAGTTATCCCAGTGGTTGAAATGTAATTGGATTGGCAGACTATTACGCTCAATTCAAATTAATATACAAACAAGGAAAGGGAAAAAGCCAATGTTTAGGATAATAACTATTAAAGTGTATTTTATACTGTAAACAAATTAACACTTTTATAAAGTACACATCACAGTCATTACAACAAAAACTAATGGTATAAAAGAGATGTATCATAGAATGTGTTACGACAACTAATCGTACACACATTTTATTCACTATAATGAGTTAAGACTCAGTGTAGAATACATTCAACTATTTCAAATCAACCATCAAGTGACATGTGAAACGAAAGTCTATATGAGATAGGATATAGTACTAAAGAATACAAAATGAACAGTCCAGTTTAACAGCCTCGTATTGAAAGGTATACAGGCATCGATAACGTGTCGAAATGACAATCAACAAGAATCATATTATAGTAAATACTATAAATTAAAAAGAGCGTTCAACTTTGTCAAACAGATACAAATTAGTAGCGAAGATAAGTTGAGAACTATGCATTTATAGTGGACAAAATGCTCTGAATAAACAAACATTCAACAAAGAACACAGAAGAAAAGAATTAGATAAATAAACAAACTAGAGGGGAGAACGAGATATTATGAGAATGAAAAAATAGATTAAAATATCGCATAAACATGTAGTGTATTAAAATAGAGAATTTTTGTGAGTTACAGATTCCTAAATCATAAGTGGTAACATACATGAGTAGTATGATGTGACAGAAGAAAAATAAAGAGCAGAAAAGAAACCACTTTATAAGAAATCAACTTAAACAGGATAGTATTAAGGGTTGTAAAGCTTTAATTTATTGCGATTTAGATGTGGTTCAGAAAGGTGCCTCGGTTACACTCCTCTATCTGAACAACTAATACCAAACGGATACTAATTGATACTAGTTGACAAATCAATATGAAAATAGAGTAATATCCTAACTTTTATACTTTTGAAAGGTTTTAAAAAAAACTGACGATTGCATATAATTACAGTGATATAATATATACTTTTGACAAAAAATTAATAGATGTATTTATAACTGATACAAAAATTTCATACAACCTTTCCCATCTATAAATTTGACTAAAGCAAGAACAATGAACGTAATAGAATAATACGATTTCTCATCAGCTAATTACGAATCCCAAATGTAATAGTATTAACCATTCAAAATCACCTTACATGCTGTGAAGTTCGTTTACATTTTCTGTCCGTATTCTCTCCTCACTTAACTTGTTTTCTGTGTATTGATTTATACTACTTGCTAATATTCAGTAAACAGTTTATTCTTAAAAGTGTGATGTGATGCTTAGTTCCACTATGTTTAGAGTTCGTCAGTATCTGGTAGTAAAACAGCGAAATATGGTGAACTCATATTATTTTGCCACATTCATTAGTCTTAGTTTGGTCAAATGATACGACAATGATGTAGAAACTTGTCAAATTAAATAATTCACAGAAATTTACCTGTCCACTTGAGGAACACCAAGGATCTTTGGAAAAATAACGTCTCCAAACAAGATTAGCTCCAGCTTTTGCCATCAAATAAGCATAATAGCGTCCACCGTAATTGACTAAATGAGTAAAACGATGAGGCCATGCGCCTAGATGAGCTGGTGAACAACTAGACCAATCAGATAGTCCAACTTTACATTGAATATCTGATAATAATTTAGAGGATGCAGGCCATAACCCATCTGATTCGTGAGTTGATTTTGCATAAGGCAGTAAAGTATTTTCAATAGGACCTGAGTGCAAAACTTGATCCAGAATAGCATAGGTAGCCTGAAGAATTGTATAAATGAAAGAAATTCAACTGTTACTAAAAAGTGACTGACTTAGTCATAAAATGTCAATCTTTCTACGCTTCATTTAGTAAACAATTTGAAAAAATGGGATTGCAGAATTTCGAAAAGACCCTTAAATGAACAGTCTCATTGTTTAGATAACACACAAAAATTGTTTTTATATTTTGTGCTCACCCACTGATTACTGTAATTTTTTGTTTGTACGTATTACAACTTATAAACTCTGTTTTCTACTTAACTGTCATCCTCATTTCCCCTTAAAACTAATCCACGCTTATCTACCTTTACTCCTTTCTTAATGTAATGGTATCTGGTAATATCTGCTATGTCCTACAAAATTTATACTATAAGAGATTAGACATCACCTGTTCATCAAATTCTACTTAATTTACTGTCGTGAAATTTATAGTCACTGGATATGTATTGATAATATGAGTATATTTTAGAAATAACTTATACAGTCACTAGCTGTATTCGCATATTCAACGATAAGGTAACTTTTTGAAACAGTTTACATCATAGATTGGTCTCCACTTAAGGACCATTGGAAAGTTAAAATCACTGAACACTTTGTTGTTAAACCCATCACCAACACACATTTATAGCCAAAATCAGGATATTCATGTCTTGGGATCAGCGTGTTACCGCTAAACCGGTAAGTCAGAATTCAATGATCAACATTTTCAACCATTATTCAATGTCACCAACGATATCACTTTCACTCTCAACGTGGTTGAACTCCACCATTTCCCACTGGAACTTCAGGACTTGACTCGAACTTGAAATGTCCTGCGAGGATTGTATAACATAATTAAAGTAGTTTTTTTCTGAAGATTATGAACTCCAATAACTACTGATTACTATTAGTCATTTCCCAATCTTCTTACTTGCAAACCCGTTTGCCTAAGCACACCGAAATTATCTGTATGTGTAAATCGGATGTTGTGGGTCATAAAATATTCAAATCAAGCGTACCATATATAAATATATATTACAAGTGTATACCTGTTGACTAACTTCTAAACTTTGACCAAGTCCTAAACCAACGGATATTTGTTGTAATGCAATTATTTCATTAGGATCTGGTTTCTGACCCGTTTTCCAATGTCGTGCATATTCTGATAATACACGCGGATCTAATGCAAAGTGTTCAAATAAAGTTGATGGTAATTCAGCTAAATCAGTACTACACCTTTAATATAATAATAATAATAACAATGAATGTAGAATAATTTATTGATTAATTAGCATATTACGATTATTATTTCAATAAGAAATCAGATTGTCAGGATGATAAAGTTCGCTTACTTTTTTGATTAAATATTTATCTTAGTGAAAATTTGATATTATTTCCATTTGTTCCCGAATCACTGACAAAATTACTCACGAAATATGAAAATGATGTACCCGTTGAAAAATGAGGAATTATTTTATTTACATGCGTATGAGTTTTGTGGAAAACTTAGCACATAGTAATGTTTGATGCATTACATAATTAGTAAGGATTGTTGTTAACGGTTGTACATTGAAGTAGTAAAAAGGAAAGAACATGGATTTATCGAGCAATCTGAAAGTATCTCGGGTTTACCTACTGATTCATTTGTAAAATTTAACACAAACGTATTGTATTATAATCCATTGATGTGTTCTTATTGTAATCTGTGTTTGATGATGATTCATAGAATTAAATGCTGATTGGTCGAATTTTATGATCTATTCATTTTTAGATTCACTTGTATCGGTTGTTTGAATATTGCCATTGATGTTTAGGACTATATTTGACCAGTCTCTTTTTGGCATATGTGGATATATGCGAACGGTACTGGACTCGAGTTCCGGAGTGAACATCAACTTTGGGATGCAGGCACATACAGTTGAAGTGTCCCAAATAGAAAGAAACACGCGTCTTGAATTTCGCTGCTAGCCACCGTTTATCTCTACTTATATTCTTTTTTAGTTTTATCATGTATAAGCAGGCTTACACAGAGTTGTTTCTATGGAATACTAATACGAAAACCTTTGAAAATAAGCAACTGTTATTCACACGTCAACATGTCAACAACGGTAATAAATTACTACCTTCCAGATTCTATGAATTCAAACAAGATAAAGCAATAGAATGAAATGCTTTCGTTTAACACGGTTCAATCAATTACACTAAACAATCATTAGATTTAGTGATTCTAAGAATCTAACCAAACCAGATAAGTAGTCAGCATTTTCCCTAACGATTTATTAGTTTAAATATTTTCGGAATTTCCATATCAATACGATAGTATCGCATTGTCAAGCTAAGAGTATCTTAGTTATGTGAACTAATAGATCAAATCAAAATTTTATACATCTATCTAGAATAAGAACCACTATTAAACGCTATCACGACAGATAATAATTCTATCAAATAAGAAAAGATATTATTAATCTATAGAACTGACTAAAATATCTAAGGTTTAATCGTCAAATTTAGACAATTAAATAGTGTAACACTTGACTAATACAATTATTAGATACCATGTAGTTATATGTAGAATATTATTAATAGTAAAGTTGAAATTGTACAGTAGTTTTGATGTATAATTATTGAATATGAAACATTTCTGAAGTTGACTAATAATACGATTAAACTATCGTATAAAATTGCTAAATGAATTCATATCTAATTGTCACAGTAGTAACATAGTTTATCTTCTCGTTTACTTATTGAATGTTTGTCTCATAATGAATTTATTTATATATTGTTTTAAAATTCTGAATGAAATACAAAATACACATGTCAGTTAGTTATATACAACGTAGAACTTGACACATTTGTGCATTAGTTCAAATTGCCACATGATATTAACACAGTGAGTTATTTTAAAATAAAATTCCTAGAATGTTAAAATTAATAATAGTAACAATAATAATGGGAAAAGAAATACAAAGACATTTTGGCATTCAGATTATAAGTGAAGATAAAAAAATGAATGCGCCTGCACCACTGCGAATAATTTTGAGTCATTTCATTCAAAGACTCTAACCACTGGCTATAATAATCACCCAAACTTCAACCACAGTGTCTACATCTATTAAAATAGCTCAGTTCAATTACCATTGACTTTATGGATTGGTGTCATGTTTTGGTTTAGCTACTTATTAGTATTCTATCAGTCTACTCCTATACCAGACAACATTCCCCGTCGAGGTAGGTGGTAGTTATGTATATATAACACATGTCCCGACCACCTCAATTGATTTTTCAATGTTCATTTAAGTGACAGCATAATCCATTAACAATATGGATAGATATAGATAATCTGTAAAGAGGATATATATATATATATACTTACCGTGTCCCAGTAACATGTTGATATCGTGTACGTGCAAGCATAGAATGTAATGCATGTCCCCATTCATGAAATAAATTTTCAACTTGTCCTATACTAAGAAGTGGTGGTTTAGAATTCGATTCGGGCGGAGATAGCGTCAATTGAAGTGTTATAATTGGAGATTGATATGATCGATTACTAGAACCATTATCTAGGCATCGACCACCACGTATAGTGTAATGACAATCCTGATAAATGAAGAAACAAAAAGAGAAGTGTAAGATACAATCAGGATAGGACTGTTAATATTAATATTCTAAATATGTAACAAAAGTGAATGAAAGTACGCTGTCGGTTAAATAGTTGCTATCATAAAAAGTTTACATCAGTTCTTTTCTACTTTACTTTTGAACCAGATAACTGTGAACGGAGGACAGCAAAGATTTAGGTGCTTGATTTAAAATCAAATTGAAACGATTCTATCGAATGGCGAAACCGTTTGATGGGAGCATTATGGATCCTACTGGAATAATATGTCACGATTATGTGAGGCGTTCTAATCCTCTCACATTTACCTTCCACAAAATAAAAACTCAGTCTTAGACGGCTAGGCTAATAAAATTCCCACTTTTGGAACCATAAAAGCAGTGATTTTGAATTTTCTGTATCAAAACTATAATAGCCGTCATCAATTGTATCTCCTATATCTACCAAAAATAGTCAGACTGCCACGATTTTAAGCAAAGGTTTTTTTGGTGCGAAATTCTCGATAGAATTAGAATTCATGAGGCAATCAAAAGCTTGTAAAAGTGAAACTCTCGTTGGATAATAAAAGACAGCTATAGAGGTTCAAATTATTTGTATATGAAGTATATGTGCAGAATGAAAGATCAGCCACAGAGACCGACAACTTCTCAAGTAACACTAAGGTTGGTTTCATATCTAGTGGTAAAGACAACCTATAGGTTGTAGACGTGAATGTATTTGCTCGGTTAGCAGGCTTTTACAAAGTAACAAAATGATCATGTTAGGAATCCCAGATCCCCCAGAAATCACTTGGTAAACGTCTCATTTTTGTAATTTTATTTTTGGAAATTCGGATTTCTCATCTTCGTGCCAAAAGCACCCACTTTTACCTTTAATTTGTATTTCCCACGTAAGAGGACCTTAAATGTCATTAGTTCGTTTTCTCTTTTAGTACGCTATTTTGTGGTGTTTTCCAAGGACATTTTTGTACTATATATATACGCATGAGTTGTGTGCTTGTTTGTTCGTGCCTCTGACTGCTTGTGGAATATATGTTTCCTTCGGCTGAATCTGGTCTTCTCCATCCAGTTAGCAGGGCTGGGGCACAGTGAAATAGTTTAGCTTGACCTGTTGTTGTGTTGCTGACTTTCGTTTCGTCAGCCGGTTTTAAGTGATATCGTAATCTTTTCAAACGTAGAAGATCAGTAAGTCATAATCACAGGTTTATGGGTAATGCTTTTGAGACACCCTCTTCTTTGTTGTTTGATGGACGAATAAAATGATATTGTCCTCTCTTTATTGATTTCCACAGCTCCATTTTTGCTGTCATCAGTTTTGTGTACGTAACTTATGGAGGAAATAACTCCACAGGATGTTTTCGACGTGTGCCAACGCTTGTTTGAACCATTAAAACATTCAAGTCAGTCTAATTCATATATATTATTGACATAATGGTAGGATAAAAATATTTTCTGTACCCCGCGATATACTGCTACTATACGATGATAGGGCCAATGACCGAGGTTACATTACCACTAAACCGATTACACGAACCATACGCTAAGCACAGACTTGATCACATAATACTAGACACACGATCCAAGTTCATGAGTAAAGAACCCGAGCATAGACTAGACAAGACTCTATTTAACACAATTTTGGACAATCTACATTCAGTGAGTCCAGAGTAGAATTCAATAATAGGAAAATCACATAATTGATAGCCAGTAAGCAGTGTCTGTCTGTCCACACTCTGTAGCTAAACACGTCTTAATTCTACTAGCCACACATCAATTATGAATCGTTTGTTATTCCTTGAATTGTTCCCCATAGGTAATGATCAAAACATGGAGCAAATCATGGTAGTAAATCGAAGTCAGAACTTAAATAAACACGATTACGAATGATATAAGAGTAAAAGGTTTTCATACTTGATAAGAAACATTTTAAAATGAAATAAAATTACTTGGGCAGGTTTACCAGGACGATCAAGCAGATCACAATAGACTATTCCAATTGGTTCTGTTGAATTATTCTTATTCGAATAGACATGAACTTTGATAACAGATGGATGCCATACTTCTCCAGGTTGTACCGGTACAACTTCTGGACGTAATCCAAATAGACAATTGGCCAATTGACTTACACCTTCCATACATGCACCCAATGAAAAATAATCTGTCAAATGCTATAAAACAAAAAAAGCAGAGGAAATATGAATCAATAACTTACTTATGTATGTGTTGCAATAAACGACAAAGACAGATACAAGGGATTATGATAAAATAAAAGGTTATAACCTCTCAACAAAAAAGAGAAAAAGTGTGAGTTAATAAACTTTAAGTTCCTATTCGATTTTTCAGATCCGAAATGGTTATTAGCTGTTGTAGCATGGGTGTTATACGATTACGCAACGGACGTCATAAAATATAGGAATAACACTAAGGCATATGTGGAATGAGAATTTATCCATGTAGCTGAGATTCATATTATCAAATCAATGGATTTCAAAGGACAGAACCATCAACCAACTGGTTGACAATTTGAATAAATATTAGGAAATTAAAGTTACTATTTATATACAAAACAATATTTGACCAAAATGACATGACCATTAGTCAGTCAGTCGTAAAGTAAAACCTGGTACACATGTACGCCGACTCGAAATGAAATTGTTAGGGCAAACCTCGGAGTACTAGAGGTAGCAACAGTATTATTGGTAGTAGGAAAGATCAGGCATCAAAGATAAGATTTAAGAAAATATAAGCCAGTGAAATAAAATTTTTTGAGGAATTCAGAAGCTTATGATCTGGGGGAAGACGAAGAATGAATTTTTGTTCTTATAGACTGTAATGATCAGCGTCCGAGACTAGTCAGATGGGATTACATCCAGTTTCCAGATTTCAGCTAGGATTTTAGTCAATCTAAATGCTAAAACTGGACCACCATCCTTAAAAATCTCAGTGCTTAATTCATCAGACCGTGCTGCTCTCTCTCGCTTTGGATTACTTATAGCCTTTTCAACCTCACTAAGAGTCTAAGGACTTATATCACTTTGCCATTCAGGTTGCTTGGAGAAAGTGGATAATTGAAGTGTGGCTGACTATCAGCTACTCGGTTCTCTAAAGTGTTCTGGCCATCAGCCCCACCACCTGGATCGATGGTGAATGACAGTCCGGTCCTTTTCCGAGATATTCTCACTAACAAAAGGATTTGTAATACCCGTTTCCTTGATAAGTCTGAACAGTTGTCTACTGTTACATATTGCAGCTGCCTTTTCCATCTCTTTTGCCTTCGCTACCCATCACTGCTCAGGATCATTGAGTAGACTTTTTTTCAGTCCATGTTTAAGCTGCCTTCGCTCCTCCTTGTGCTTTGAGTCAGACGGGATGGGATCTCAAGCATCTACCAGTTCAGTAGGCGCCACTGAAATCCAATGGTTTTTCCTAACGTTTTGATTGAAGTTACTAGTACGTATCACTGCTATTTCCACAGCTTTTCGGATATCATATCAGGATACCTCAGGGTAAATATTACTTTTATGGTTGACTAACTGCTCCTCTTGTTCTTCCTGAAATACATTCTTATTTTTTTCATCATTAAGTTGAACTCTAAAGAGTTTTCTGATTGTGACTTTTTTAAGTATAGTAACACATAGAAAAATACGTGCCTTAAACTAGAGAATGATGCGAGTCTAAACATGTGCTCCAGAATGTGCGACAGTTTTCACTTGAGCTCCTCCAACGATGGCTAATGACAATGTGATCTATTTGAGTCCGTCGATGAAGCAACCGTGGAGGTCGTCACGTCATACGATGTTTCTTCTTATGATTAAAGTTGGTGTTTGCCAGAAATAGACGGTTATCTGAGCACAGTGGCAACAGACAGTCACCATTTTCAGTTCGTTGTACCGCAACACCGTAAGATCTGCCTAAGTGCCTTTCGATTTGGTTTAGTTTACCAACTTAAGCATTAAAACCACCTGTCACTATTACTACATAAGAGTTCAGCTTTTTGAAGGAGGCTGAGTAGCTTCCCATAAAATTCATAAGTAACTTCATCCGAGCTACAGTCAGTGGGAGCGCAAAGAAAACGAAGACACAAAAACAGTTGTCTTTCTGAGTTCTTACTGTACTGTTTAGCTGGACAATGCATACGTGATTTTCTATTGGAATCCGGTCAAGCACAACCTGTTGTGCTTTTGAACTTAACATCATACCTACACTAGTAAGACGAAGGGAATTAGCAATGGGATCTGAAAATACACGAAGGGTAGATAGTGCCAGTTCTTTATATTGACAAGGTGAGGTCAAATGGATGGCTGTATTTGGATCCTGTATGCACGTTTCGGAGGCGCAGCAAACGTCGATGGCGCGAGATTCTGGTGTACTATTTAATGAAGCCTGTTGTCCTGCCTGACACATGGTTCAAATATTGAGAACTCCAACATTTAGGTTAAAATGTAGTTTTAGTAGACCACAAATAACATTTCGTGAGTCAGTCAGTCAGTAACAACGTAGAACTTCGTACGTACGTACATCAGTTCGAGTTGCCACACCACATTAGCACAGAGATTCAGTTGTCGATTCAAATCCCGTAGTGGTAGAGGTAATAAGAGTATAAGCAGCAATCGGGAAGATTAGGGTTTGGAGATGTTATTCAAGGAGTATAATCCAGTGAAATAGATTTGGAAAGAGGAAAAAAGGGACATGAAGAATTCAGAAGATTAGAATTTGAGAGAACACAGAGAGTGGATGCACCTGCGCCATTGCAAACGATTTTGAGCCATGTCATTCAGGGTCTCTAACCATCGGTTGCTATCATCTCGCGGTCCCCAACCAGGTAGTCTGCACCTACCAACATGACTCAGTCCACTTGTCAGTGACTTCATGGACTTGTGCCATGTTTTGGTTTGGCCGCCCCTAGCTTTCTTCCAACCTACTCCTATACCACTGAACATAGCACGTCGAGGCAGTTGGTCGTTGGGCATACGTAACACGTGTTACGTGTTACATTTCGTGAACTCGAATCATTAGCATTGGTACCACTTGGTGATAAAGATATACGAGAAGGGTTATTCGTGGTGATAGAATTATTAAGCGGTGAAGGAGAGATTTGATCGTCAACGAGATGATCTTGAGTGTTGTTACAGATACGAGGTGGGTTAGAACTTCCCAACTGCTCACGACATAGAAGGATATTTCTTCTTGAGAGACAAGAAAAAGAAACTAAATCAGTGGTTGTATTAGAGACCTGGGAGCGTGGCCGCAGAGCCCATGGGACAACTGCTTGACGTCCGTCGCGCATGGCCTTTCATGAGAAGTTTTCGATGAGTTCGCTCCGTATTTTAAAAGGCCTTACCATCAAAGGCGGAAATCTGTGGGGTAAAATGGAGTGTGAAATTTTTAGAGTCAACCTTTTCCAATCCCTTTCTTCCGTTGTGAGAAGGCAGAAACGCTGCAGATGCCGGCTGTTCAAGAGAAATACCTTGCTGCTATCACACCCATCTACAGTCAGCAGTACGACCTAGCCCTCAGACCATAAGTTGCTGATGTTAGTCTTACCGCCCTTCAACCGATCTGTCCGGTAAGGTAGTACCTAAAAGGACATGTGTTCAAGCTAATATGGCTCAGTTGAGTCAACACGACAGGCAAGGCCGATCATCACGTCAAGGTAACAGCTACGGTCGGGCATGATCGTAAGCTACCTGTTAGCTGACAAAGGCTAGTTAAGGACAAAAGGGTTGCAAAATGACCGATAATTACACATTCCACTTCTTTGCAGGTTTTCGAAGCAGAATTAAGTCAAGAAGGCTGGGACCTGGGAAATGTCGATTGAAAGACAAGTACTCTCACCCCTAAGTCACTACTTTAAATGTAAAATTAAAGCTAAGAAGTAGAGCGGTGTTTTAGCAGTTAAGGCTTTTGACTTGTAGCTAATAATTCGTAGAATTGGACTCCCACCTACTCCTGTTCAGGCAACAGGATAGTACCGCTACCCTTCACACTTAGTGTGATTCAAAGTCAAGTAAATGGACCTGAAACCGGTTGATTAATTAACAATGGTAAGTTTTCCTAGGAAAGATTAACTGTAATTGAAATGTGCACAGAAAATATATTTAGTTGTTGTAGATGTACGATTAAATTAGGAATAATACGAATTCATACCAAACAATACATTTTGGTTGAAATATTAATAATGATTAATATTGCTAATAAAAGTTATTTTGAATTATAACTTACACGACTACATAATGCCTGGCGTTTAACACCAAGTGCAAAGGGTAAATCACTAGGCCAAATTAAATTTGCATTACAATCCGTTTGCAAGTTGTGCATCTTCGTTTTTCGATAAGAGTTTTTTATGATTGGTAATAACTGTTTTCTTGCTACTTCAGTTGAAATAGGACGAAGTTTCTTACAAACATGCTGAAGGAATTCGTCTACATTCTCAGGTGTTTCAGCTAAACTATAGAGCGTAGCACGTTTAGCATAATTTTGAAAGCCAGCTGCTCTGAAAAGAAATAACAGTAAAAAGAAGGGACATAAGTTAATGATTTTATGAATAATCGTAATGCTACAGAAATGTGATATTCTTGAGATGATTACCATTGAGAATGACTATAACAGAAGAGATCTTGTATTCTCAACTGATCGATAACTAAGCAATGGTCAAAATCATCCTAGTTTAGTCCTTTAGTGATATAAAGGATGACTTAAGATAGTTTCCTCACTTTCTGCATTATACTAAACGAATAAAATGATAAAATAATGAGGTTGGTCTGGGTATTCAAATTTATAATACCGTCAGATTGGATACTTGAAAGATTCGCTACACACAGACCAGAGATCGCGTTATATCAGACATATGATTCACGACCAAAACAGAGGACCAAAGTAAACGCTAGACAATACTTTATTCCACACAATTACAAGCAATCACTCTCAGTGAGTTCGGAGTAAAAATCAATAAGATGAACGGAAGTCATATATTTGATAGTAAGTTGAGTGCGCATTTGTCCACATTTAGATTTACTTTCACTACCACACATCATTCAGTTTGTCAGTCGCCCGAAGATCTTAGGTATGGTTAGCTGACGAGTGTCAGATAACACTAAACCTAGGTCCGGGGCTTTTTGCTGACTACCTACAACCACATGACATCTCAACACAATGAACGTAATATAGAGTCACACTCATGCCCACATTACAATTTGATCGACAAAATTGGGTCAGCACTAATGGATTAGAGATCAAAGTGAAGTTGGTCATTAGTGATAGATCAATTTTAAATATCTCGATTTTACAGATCAGTTGAGGCCTGTATAGCTTACTGGTAGCTTTACAGATTATGAAACTGAATGAGTCAGTCTTGAATCCACGTGAAAGTATCAGTCCCCTGAAAATCACAAAGACGTCTCGCTTGCGAGTGAAAACTAGCGCGAAACCTAGGTAAAGGGTTTCCTGCAGACTACCTTCAACTACCTAACATTTTGACGTAATTCGTTTGTGATTAAATAGTGGAACAATCGAACTGGAAGTTTAAGCAGTTAGTATTTTTCAAAGACAAGTCTAAATGTGTAGATGATCAGTACTTACAGGTGAAATTAGACAGAAAAATACAAAATGGATATGTAAAGGCAATATTTTTACACTTATTTTGTTCATTATTTTTAAGACTGATGCTGTATAACAACTGAATGGATTGGAGTTTTTCTAATAATAGAATTATTTTAGTTAGGTCGGTGGTCAATACAAAGTACCGTTTTTCTCAAAGATAGACAGTGAAGAACGTTTACATCTGGCAGATGTGATATTCAAATATCTTATTAAAGAAAACGTTGTTAGTGATAGCTTTTGTCTAATTTCTCTAATTAGTATTTCAAAAACACATTTCATAAAGTAGATGATTAAAGCCAACTTTTGTAATAAGCCAGTTGTTTTATTACATAACCGAAGTTATGAAACTTAAGTACCTCAATTTAATTTTCAAAGAGAAGAGTCATCTGTAGGGAATGCACCATTAAAAATGCTACGTAACAACGATTTACTGTGGATAGCAAACCCTGTTTAAAACAATAAGATTTCAAACCCGATAGAAATACAATCGACAGTAGCAAGAAATTTTTTACACAATAATTATAATTATAATATTGTCACATAATTAGAAAGTGTATATTTCTACTTTTCCCGTGTACAGGGATTTCAACAGACGACAGGAAGGTTAATACATTCAAGACATTGTTCTCTATAGACCAAATCTAGATTGATCTAAATAATAAAATTGATATTAACCCAGTTATAGTAAATTTGCTCACAATTACCAGTATAGGGTTGTGGAGATTGTTTACAATTCTTCATCCCTTCTCTCATTCCGTTAAAATCCGTGACATTTTGAAGAGATAGAAATTTTTGAATTTGCAAATACTATATCACTTTAATAAAAAACTTACTGTGCCATTTCATGTCGTGCACTCAAAAGTTGTTCTAGACACTTTTCTTGGCCTTGAATGGGTGCATAATATGCACAATAGGTGGATAAACGGATAGAAGGATCTGGATGATCACTAAGTGGATGAACAAGTTCAATTGAATTTGAATAACTATTTGCTGAATACTTCGATGGATAAGTTACTGTACTATGGCAACCCTAGGTAACGTGTAATAATGTAATAAGAAAAAGAGACAAGTAGAATTTAAATACAAAAGAAATATTTATTATATATACAAAGAAATATATATAAATTCAAGGGTAATAATGCCACATCACACTACACTATAATACATGTAAACTAATTTTAGAACTGAACGTATTGAAGTCGAACTTAGTATATTCATCCCCAGTTGAAAAGTTTATCATAACACAAGTTAACTATAGGATTGCACAGACAAATAATTTGTTCGAGTTCAATATAGTTAAAATACCTTTGGTATATATATATACCGATTATACAATGGTGACTATCGAGACTCAATAATCCGCTGGGTAATATCACATATGAAGGGGTGGGTACTAGGAATACCAACAATGCGATACAGTTACATCGGGTTAACTAGCCAGGAAAATAACGAAATGTGTCTACTATATTTTATCGACATTCATTATCTGAAATGCCCTGGTACGGACGAGAGTGAAGACAGTCTGCTCTCACATGGCCACGCGTATACAGCCACTACCAGGGAAGTCCTACTCACTGCCTTCTCATAGTGGGGTTGTTGTCTACGAAATTGAGAGAACGAAAAGCAAATGTCCGGCACTTTAACCGGCTCCGTGGATATGGAGGATCTACCTAGGGAAGTTGGAAAATCCTAATTCCAAACCAGTGAGGCATAGGGCTCTAGGGTCCTAAGGAAACAAATGGCGTATGAACCTATCGTTGATCACCGTTTACTATGGGACTGCATCTCCTTATGTTGTTCCACTGTTTTGTGGATCAGACCTTTAGGTCAAAGGCTCGGGGTGTGACCCCCTAAGAAAACCACGTGCTTCGGTTTGGCACCCACGGAGTATTCCAGACCTCACACAAATCGAATGATTTCTGTGGCGCATATATATTTGGTGCTTGCTTGTACCAATGTTTGTGTGTTTAAACAAATATATAAAATAAACAACTTTAAATGTAATCAATATCAAGTCATCCATTTGAGGAAATCATAAGCTAGCGGGGACATCAATTTAGCCCTGAATATCAATCAAACGATAAATAAAAAACACTTCAATTAATACTCAGTCAGTCAGCCTCTATCGACAATGCACTTGGTACAAGTGTACATTGATTCAAAGCGAGAGGAAATGAACAAGATGAGAATAGGATAGAAAATAATATCGAAAGTAGTCAAAATCTAAAAATAAAGAGTACAAATACAATCGGAAAATAGGAACGTATGAATGATAATTAACCGGAAATCTAAAACATTCAGCATGAATACCCTTTTGCTACTCCGAATGACTTCGCACTATCACCTACGCCGCAAACCATTGCTAACGGGTATTCTGTAGGTTACAACGAGGAATAATTTATCTCACGACATGGTTCATATCGACAGTCAGTGACTTCATAGACCTAGGATATGCTTTAATTGGGCCACTCCTAACTATTTATCATATACTCCCATGTAAGAGAAACATTGGATGTCAAGGTACGGAGTAGTTAAACATCCGAAACCCATGTCCTAACCACTTCAGTCAATAAAAGTCTACAGTCTCATTTACGAATTTGAGTTTTTCTTTGCCGATCATTGTTAACTAAACCTCAGAAAAACTCACTCGGTGGATCCGCGATACGCCAATAACGCTTCTAAGTGTTTCTAAAGGATTAAATATCAGGAGAATATCTCATAAAACTACTAATTCGTATAACATAAAACTAGAAAAACTGTCTAACCACAAACGTTTTCGATAAAAGTATTAGGAATTATAACAGTTATTCAGCTATCATAAAAATATATATCTCAACAACTACGTTCAGTTTTATGTGCTGCACTACGAACTTTGACCAGCAGTGTTATATCTCAAGAAGACTAGGTGAATGGTAACTTCCAGGAATTATTTATAGACTATTATATAGATAAATATATCCTTTCATCATAAGCTTTTATTTGACCCATTAACTATTATTATACGAATTTGTAGGCATAATTACCAAGGTTTGACTTGATAATTTCGAATAAATTGAGCATTGGGTAGATTGTTATAAATAAATTAATATATTCGTAATATCTCAATGAGTAGAAAAATTAAATTTTCTGACGTTTCGTGACTCAGTGTAAGCCACTTGTTCAGAGAATAAATAACCAAATCAAAATTAATCCAAGTTTCAATCGTACAAAGGAACAACGCAAGTATAATATTTAACCCGCTAACATCTACAGTCTCCCTTAATCACAGACACTTTTGACTTGATCTTGTATAATTGTCATTTCCCATTTTATGGTGCTATATGGTTGGGTATCGCTTAATATAATCTACATATACTTGAAATATATTGTTTGTATAGAGGAGGCTGATTGTTGTGTTCTTAAGGAGGAGAGCAAGGAGGAAAGCTACTGTATTGAGGACCAATAAGGGTTTGAAGTTGATTCAAGGTTACTAGTGCTGATTGACGTGACGTCGGTTAGCTCAGGGACAAGGTCACAGAAATCGATACTCTGAGTGGTGGTTTGTCACGTGATATTAGACAGTGCCATAAGTCAGAACAAGTATACTGACCAATGAGTGCTACTCAGTAAGCGAATCAATTTTAAAAACTGTAACTCACAGGTGGAATACCTGAATAAATTGGCTACAACATTACAATGAAAATTAATAATCATGGTAGTATTGACAACAATTTCAGTAAAGCACTATTAATAAGTACGGCAGTTTATTTTTAAGGGATATATATTGTATGGTACAAAGAGAATTATGAACTATCTTCAGCTAGATAAACGTGAAATATCTGGGTAATAGTAGATAGTTAATCAACTTTTGTATTCTATACGTTTTATCTAACATTTACATTAAACTTGAAAAAATATTGAATCCAAGTTCATAAGTGGTGGGAAGTATTTTTGTTTCTAAAAAAGTAATCGCTGTGAATATAGGTGCAAAGACCAAGAGAGTCGGCAAAATTAATAATTTCAGAATTAACTCAATCCTCTCCCTCTGAAAAAAATATTCAGTCAAGAAACAAATAAATCGCTTACTTCAATAAATTTAGCACCACAGTTTAAGGCAAATGAAGCAGCATGCACAAATTGTTCGTGTCGACAGGGATCCTGTAGTTGTACACCAGATAGTTCAAAATCAGCTACAAATAAATCGAGTACACGCCTATCAACATTATCCATATGTGTATCTGGAATTAATTTATCCACTTGAGATGAACTACTTGCACGAACAGAGGCATTATATAAGTTTGAATTAGTATTCAATTCTTCAACAAGTTGACCGATTGACTGACATGCTTTCAGTGCAGAATAGCGATATGCTTGATCTGGATGAAGCATTCGTATACAATCAGATAAATCAGCAACTCGACACAATGTATCGGATAGATCGTCTAATATCTGTGATAAATAGATGAATTAAGTTAAAGTATTGAAATAAGGTCTAGCAATAGTAATACATGAATGAGTGGGGTATAATAGTATACTTGTGGCGCATCCTACTTCTGCTGACAGATACAAGTAGTATGTAGTGGCAATCGGAAGCAGAACACCTGCTAAAAGATTAAATTGAAGAGAACAGGAAGGGTAACAGAAAGCAATTGGAGTGACAACGGAATTGAAAGAATCATGAAATACGTAAAGGACAACTGATGGAAGATGTGAAAATGATGTATTTAATGTATGCTTTTTATATTTTACGAAGGCACTCTGTAATTTTGAATTAAACCATAGACTGGTTTTCCCCAAGGTTTTCGTTCACTACATTGCACATGTGAATCTTTTTGGATAATTAGGAAAATAATATTCAAATAGACGCAAACACAGGAAAAATACGGTGAAGTATGTACTTATAGGCTTGAATTGAACAATGTCTGATACACCTAGGCATTGGTCAATTGACATAAAACAAAGAATTGATTAACCTAATTAACGACAATTTGAGATAGTATGGAAGAGGAATTTCACAAGAGCAGAAAACATTTATTTGAATGAAAAGGTCAGAAAAGTGCAAGAACTAAATAAATAATCAATATCTGTTTAAGGTTGAAAATATAATGAAGAACATATACATATGAACATTGGAAATTAGTGTCGTTTTTTAGTGTTTATGCTCAAAAATCCTCTCTATTTTATTCTATTTTGATTAACAACAGACATCAGGGTTTGATGTGATTCAATAAATGCAGTGAACATCTCGACCATGTAAATTCTTCTAAAGAAAGGGGGAGCAATTACTTATACTCCAGTTTTCATTAAAGGACCATAATAATCCGTATAAGTTTACTCACAAACTTCCAATGAGTATTTTGAGTGCTATAGTTGTTTCAAATTATAACATAATGCTTAGTCTCTTAGCCGGAGACAATGAATGAATAAAAATAAGTGAATGCAAGTAGTTAGTTGTGGTAGAAAGTTTAGTTGATAAAATACAAACAGAAAGAATTCTTTGAGTTAAGGAAGTTCCTCTCACATTTATGAAAAGAAAACTACAGAAGGACTGTTACTGGCTTCCTAGTTACATGCCCAAGACACCAAAGTTGGTATTCCAGGATCGTGACACCAGCTGAATTATTGACACTGAAATCGAACTCACGTTGCTGGATCTTTGGATTACCAACAACGTGCTATCACTGAATGTCAGCAATCCTTCTGAGACAACGAAAATCAAACTCAGAGATTCGCTTGACACCATTAACTCGGAAAGGTCAGGTTTAAAAAACACATAGCAAATCTGTTTTCACCAAACTTTTACAGCCTGACTAACATCAAGAAGGCACCACAGATGGCCTAAATTGGCATAAGCCACTCTAACTTTCACTGTAAATAAATTGATTTAATCACTCACTCCACCAACAGCCCTTATACAACTACCCAGACACACAAACTCGATTACTTCAAACTGCTCACTACCAAGAGCGAATGTATGAACAGGCTCTTGAGAGTCTTTTAAAGGTGCTTTGCATCTGGAAGGTGCCATACCTATGGACACTGGTTAGAAACTGATTAAGTGTGGACTGTATGGCCTGAAAACTCCGCCTGTAGTTCTTCTAGGTTACTGTCGGTCCCAATCTCACACAAAGGAGGAGGATTGGACTTGAAGTCAGTAACCCCACCCCGTAGAAAACAACCTTTCTAGAAAAACGCTAACGAGAAAAAGAAATTTGGAAACGGAAAAGAGAAAGACCAAAGAACACACTGAGTCAAAAATTAGAAGCAGATATAAAAAGAATAAACGGCAACTGGAAACAACTGACCAGGACAGAGTTTGGTGAAGAACGCTGGTGGGCAACCCACGTTCCTCCATGAAGGGTAACAGGCGTAAGTAAGTATGACCTGAAGATCATCACACAATGAGACATCATCTCCAAATGTTTGGATGTTAGATTTGCTATTTGACACGGAAAGTACCTAAACATAGCCCGAGTGACAACTACTATATTTTTGACGAAAGCGTTGTAAAAATTATGTCAAATGTTATTGATTTCGGTCTTCCTTTTGGATTCTCTAACTTATCCCGTACTTTTGACAACACCAACAAGTAGTTTTCGTCAAATTTATTAAGTGATGAGACCATTTCGCCATGAATTGACATTTGCTTTTGCTTAGTATCTAATCCCTTACATTGTCCATTAGTTTTTCCAGGACTTTTGAGAAATGATTGTAAGTTGTGTAAAACCTTGAAAGCTGCTAGGAGAGCTATTATCGTATCTTTTGATTACATTACGATTACAAATAGTCATTAGAAACCTTGCGAACAATATTTTAACAAATAAAAACCATCAGTTACATGTACAATGTCTATTGTATGACAGGATACATAATCAAATAAGAATCCATACTCGTAAAAAGAAATGTAAAAGCTTTGCAATCCCTTATTTAGCCTACACTATGTGATGAAAACGTCGTAAAATTAAAACCAATCAGAAACCTTAGTGGATAGAGATAAGCATTTGATGATCAGTATTGTAAATATTTCTAGTGACTTTTTAATTTTTATTACGTGCATAGATATTTGCTGGGAGAATAAAGAAACCTTGTTAAAATATTTTACCCTGAGTGTTGTTTAATGTATTGAACAAAAAGAGTTGAATAGAGCGATGGTTACTACACTTAACTATTCGTCTTGAACATTTTATACATGCAATTAAGTGTTTTAAAGGTACTGTTATTGAACAACGAACTCCGCCTGGAGTCCCTCCGGGGGCTACTGCCGGTCCCAAGTCCGGATGAAGAAGGAGGGTCGGACATGGGGTTAGCGGCTCCATCCCGTAAAACAATCACTCGCTAAAAAAACGCCAACCAGAAAAAAACTGTTCAAAGCATTTAAACTCTGTCCTGGGAGGCAGAAGGTCTTCATTTAGAAGAGTTATGACGCCTCATGGTGAGAGCCGAGTTCCTCCGGGAGTCACGAGGCTGATGCTCCTTCAGACAACCAGAGCAACCATTTACTTAGGTACATGGAATACTCGTACAATATGGGAGACTGGAAGAGTTTACCAAATTGCTGCAGAAATGAGGAGATACAACCTAGAGGTGCTTGGGATCAGTGAAACACATTGGACGCAAGTTGGACAACAACGACTAGCTTCAAGGGAGTTTCTGTCATACTCCGACCGTGAAGAATAAAATGCCCACATACACAAGGAGTTGCATTGATGTTGTCCAAACAAGCACAAAATGCACTTATAGGATGGGAATCTCGTGGACCAAGGATCATCAAAGCCTCCTTCAAAACAAAGAAAGAGGGCATTTCAATGAACATCATCCAATGATATGCGCCTACCAACGACTACAATGAAGACGCTAAAGATCAATTCTACAATAGGCTGCAGTCAATCATCGGGAAGTGCCCAACAAAGGACCTGACCATTCTGATGGGAGATTTCAATGCTAAGGTTGGAACGGACAACACTGGATATGAAGACATCATGGGACGACATGGACTGGGAGAAAGGAATGAAAATGGTGAGAGATTTGCAAACCTATGTGCCTTCAATAAACTGGTCATAGGCGGAACCATATTCCCACATTAACGCATTCACAAAACCACATGGACTTCACCGGACCGCACCACGCAAAACCAAATCGACCATATTTGCATCAACAAAACGTTCAGGAGGACGATGGAGGACGTGAGAACCAGGGGAGGAGCTGATATAGCATCAGGTCATCACTTGCTGGTCGCCAAGATGAAATTGAAACTCAAGAAGCACTGGACAACGGGGCGGACAATATCACAAAAGCTCAATACGGCCTTTCTCCAGGATACTAACAAACTCAACAAATTCAAGATAGCCCTCAGCAACAAGTTCCAGGCCTTTCATGATCTACTCAATGGAGAGGGAACTACTATGGAAAGCAACTGGAAAGCTATCAAAGAGGTAATCACTTCAACATGTCATGAGGTTCTGGGCCACAAGAAGAACCACCACAAGCAAATAGTTGTCACCATAATGTTGACCGCTGAGTGGTCTAGAGCTTAAACGCTTAATTGGCTAAACTGAAGTTCCAAGTTGTGGGGCCGTTGGTACGTGTTTCTGAAGAATACCATACGGGGACAAAACGAATGTCCAATGTTTCCAAATGCAAAGAAACTGCCTTGATGAACGACCTACATACCTAGCTCTACATGAGCAGGTGGACTGGTATACGAACATTCAGTTAGTCAGCCTTGGTAACTTTTCTTTCACAAACGGACACATAAGAGAATAATCATAGCAGTTTATATGAAAATTTGACGCGTTAAATGTCTTTTTATGTCGTTAACTCTGCAGGTGGTCTTTTAGTAGATCACCAACAATACTTTATCAGGTTTATAAACAGTGACTTTTTGACCAGTAGACTTGATTTGTAAAGGCTGTATCTTCGGATTTCTCTCCATATATCTTGACGAATACCCATTCTCTAGAAAAGCAGATTATGAACTGGAAATTTCATTCTTTAGATGGTCTGGTGAAGAAATTTTACGATATCGTGAGCATAGGCAGTTACCGAGACTCCATTTCCTAATTATTGAGGACTAAGAGTGAAAATATATCAATTTTCCGTTCCAAGGTTTATTGTACATAAATGTTTTTAGTGATCCACCATTTCTTTTAGTAAATAGGACATCAAGGAAGGAAGTTTTCACTCACATTCCTGCTCCACTATAAATCTGAGTGATGGATCTGACTTCTTAAAATATTCGAGGATATCGTCGATCCGAAACTTTTCATTACGTAAGTCATCGACAAGTCTCCCATACAAGCGTTTGTTTCTACAAAATTATAAGACGATAACAAAAGTTATGTCCCCAAATACTGAAACAGCTTCGAACTGTGTAATAAATGCAATCATTACGTTTCCCTTGAAAAATGTTGGTTCATGATTGATCGGGAATATCAGGCAATTTAACTTTGAGGAATCAAGTGTCTGAATATGCTTAACATCATTTTTCTTAAGTTTTGTTAACCTGTAAAAGCTAGTGACTGGGGAATTTGTTGGTCGCATTATCCACGAACCAAACGAAATGTCCGACTTCTTATCAAGCAAGGAGTATAATGAACAGGTCATTTTTCATTACTTTAAAAGTGAGAAATGTGGCTAGTGAATACACATACAAGCGCAGATTCTATGTTTTTCTCAACAGATTTCTACTAACTATACCTCATATATATTGAAGCCATAGAGGGAGCAGTGATGTTACACATGAGTACTATTTGAAGGAAATCAGTCGTTCGCTGAATCTACGGTTATTTTATCAACCGATAAAGTTAGAGCGCTTTATGCATGTTTAAACATCCAGATCCATGTAATATGCGAGAAACCGTGTAAGTGCTTTAGAGAAAAATGAGTTGACATAGCACAATCTCACTATATTATAAGGTTTTTTCTACGTATTTGATTCTTGTAAATAAATAACCTGCTTATAAACGACAGTATCTAGTAAGCGTTAATAGCACGAAAAGCAGTTCTAAGTGGCTGTAAAAATGTAACAAAGTTGAAGTATAGATAACACGAGACTAACCTGGACTATTTTTCTAACTCTTGTCTGAGAAGTAGCTTCATCACACAACACATGACACTCTCCGATAGTAGACTCAACCAGACTTTGAAAACTATGAGGAGACGTCAAAACCGGGTGGCCAAAAAGTCCTATATGATTGAAAATATTGATATTATGCAAAAGCTACCTGTCCTTTTGCTTAAATGTTCATCTTTTGTTTTAAAACTATGGTAATTAAAAGCATCGGCTAATGGACTCAATTTAACACGCGTAGACAGTAATTTCCGATTAACGTAATTGAAACTTCGAAATAACGGTAGGTGAAACCAAACCATGAAGCAGTTACAAACGGAATAACTCTATGCAGGGCAATGAAATCGGACACTAAGTTTATATCGCAGAGAGAGAATAGTAACTAAAATCAATGAGGAGGAAAAAAACAATTTAGAACAAACGTGTATTTTCATGAAAGACATTTCACTTAAACTACTGAGTGTGATTCCAAGACGAAACTCGCATACTTACACTGAATCAACTATATATATGTAACCAGAGAAATTAATGAGCCCGATAAGACTTGGCTCCTACTAGAATAAACTATGTACATGTCATGTACACTAAAATGGGAGAATGCAAAGCGATGTTGCAACTTAGTAACAGATTGAGAGTTGGTGTGCTAAGTCTTAACTTACAGTAGGAAAAGTTCGAAATTATAAATTATTGCCAACAAGCATTACTGGTTTGCGCCATGATGGTGATATTGGTTTTCGTAAACGTGAAGAACCTAAAAGAGTTACTGAAACAAACCACTCGCATGGCAGATTACCAGTCATCCCGGTATTCACTAAACTTTTGGCTAGGTCTCGATACCTACATCTGGTGATAAATGTGCATTGGTAACGTGACCATCGAAAAGTGCGCAAACCTTGGTTTCAAATGGTTCAGATGGTTCAAATGGTTGTAGACGGAATAGAAGAATCTTTCGCTTAACAGGCTTCCGTGTCTAGTAGCAGGGGATCACCAAATCCTCCAGGCAGAAACCTAGGTATTTTAACAATAAAAGAGGAAAAGATATTGGTAAATCATAGTGTGATGCTGTCCTTGGTCCATAATGATAGGACAAGTTACCTCTTGAAGGGCTCCTGAGAAGTCGCTTGGACTAGCTCGGCCGGCAGCGAATTCCAGCCTTTGACAACTCTTAAGGAGTAGAAGTTATGTCTACATTCCGTTTTGCTATGTTGTGTCTCCAGTTTCTGGGTGTTACCCCTTTGGTTATTATTCGAACTAAGCTTAAGTAGGTGTTTAAGAGGATGTCCAGAAGTGTTAAGGATGCTATAAGCCATCAGAAGATCACCTCTAAGGCACCTATACTCTAATGGGTAAAGGTCTAGTGAATGGAGGCGCTCTTCGTAAGGTTTAGATTTGAGTCCTCGAACTGATTTCGTGGCTCGCCGTTGGATACGCTCTAAAGTGACCTTGTCCTTTTGGCGTGAGGGGGGAGTACTATGTTTCCGTACTTTAAATGGGGACGGATGAAACTATTGAAGATTGTATGGAAAGTTCTTCCGTCAAACTGGCCAAAAATGCGCTTCAACGTTACCAGTGCAAGGTTTGCTCGGAAGGCATTTTTGTCACAGTTAGCGTAAGACCTTAAATCATGGGGCACCAGGACTCCTAAATCTTTTTCGACTTGCGATACTACTAGAGAGGAGTTTCCCAAGTTGTAACTGTAGTTTGCGACATGTTGCAGATGGACTACTCTACACTTTGAAGTGTTAAAGGTAAGTCCGTTATCGTCTGCCCAACTTTGAAGTCGAGTCAGATCCTCCTTGGTTGCGTATCTCTCTCCAAAGTTTCACGTCGTCGGCAAAAAGTAATAAGTCTGACGTTACCTGTTGAGGAAGGTCGTTTATGTAGATCAAGAAAAGAAGAGGCCCTAGTAATGAGCCCTGGGGGAGCTTTCAATTTGGAACGCGTTAGCTTCGTCCTGTTTTTCTGTATGAGCCTTATGTGAATGGACAGGTAGCCCACCTATATGAGGTTTGCCGAGGTGGTAGGCCCTGTCCTTTACACGTTTTTTTTCATTTAGACAGTCCACAAGTGGAGTGGTCAGCTCCAACGTGTTTTTGTGTTTGGTCCTAGTTTCGTATGGCCTATCCGGGTGCATGTCGATTCCAGGTGGCAATCGACGTCTGTTGGCACGAAATGCTTCCAGAACTGTAGCCGCCATGTGGGAAGATGGGAAGGTTATCTTCATTAGACGGGGTCTAGGATCACTGTCCTTCTTGGCTAGTCTCGTCACATGCTGCGTCAGTATGTGTTTGAGCCTCAAGCACTGTTTGATGAATTTCCATTCCCTGATGTCAGAATTTGATTGAGTAGGGTCTGCATTTTCCGGTATACCTTGGACAATTATGTTTCTTCCGCGGAAAAACTTCTCGTGAGATTCTTTAGGGGTGTTCCGTATGATATTGCTCTCAGAGTACGGTATGTAGGGCAATACTCTTACGTTACCATCGGATTTCAGCAAGTGACTTGCTAGCAAGACGTCCTCAACGTCGGCAGCATTCTTAAGTGTTACTCGGAGAAGCCTCGGGTGATTTAGATGCTTAAAATCCTTTCCTCGAGTGAGCCGGGTGACCGTCAAAGGCTCTATTCTAGGAAGTTCGAGCTTCTTGTTCAATCCACCCCAGAACATCCTGTCATTTTTGTCCTGCAGACTGAGAGGAAGGTCAGGATTGTCAACGAATGGTTCCGAGTGGAATAGAAGAAGCTACCACTTAAAGGACTTCCGTATCTAGTAGCAGTGGATCACCGATACCTAAAGGGAGGAACCCAGATATATTATCGATAAAAGAGGAAAAAGAAAAAAAGGTTGGTACATCATAGTGAGGTACTATGCCTAATCTTTGGGAATATGTCAAGTTCTCTCTCAAAGAACTCATAAGTCATTTAAACTAGCTCAGCTGGCAGCGAATTTCAACATTTGACTACTCTTAGGGTGAAGAAGGTGTATCTACAGTCCGTTCTGCTATGTTGTGTCTCCAGTTTCTGGGTGTTACCCTGAAGTTTTGTGCTGGGACTAATCTGTAGCAGGTATTTAAGGAGATGTTCAGAAGTGTTAAGGATATTGCGGGTCATTAAAAAGTCATATTTAAAATGTCTGTATTCTAATGGGTAAATGTTCATTAATTGGATGTGCTCTTCATAAGACTTGAATTTGACTCCTTGAACTGATTTCGTGACTCACCATTGGATACATATCAGAGTGTCCTTATCTTTTTGGATTGAGTGGGTACTCTGTTTCCGTACTCTAGCAAGAGGACTAATAAAACCTTTGAAGATTATGTGAAAAGTCCTTCCGTTGAACTGTCCGAAAATGCGCTTCAACGTTACTAATGCAAGGTTTGCTTGGAACACATTTTCTAGCAGTTGGTGTAAGAATTCAGATTGTAAGGTGTCAACGATCGCAGATCTTTTCAACTTTGGATACCTCTAGAAGGGGGTTACCTAAGTTGTATTCGTAATTTGCAACGTGTCTCAGATGAACTGCTTCACACTTCAAAATGTTAAATGCAGGTCCGTTGTTATCTCACCAACTTTGGAGTCTAGTCAAATCCTTCTAAAGTGCCAGTTTATCCAATTGGTTGCATACTTCTCTTCAAAGTTTCACATCATCAGTGAAAAGTAATAAATGTGACGACACTTGCTGTGGAAGATCGTTTATATAAATCAAGAAAAGGGAAAGTCCCAATGCTGAACCCGCGGGGAACCAAACGGGACGTTCTATAAACTGAAAGAAGTTGAAGTTTACCCTGAAGAAGGCACAGATATTCAGTGTTTGACAAAGCTTTAACCAGTAACACCTTCTAATATGAATCGTACCCACTAAGAGAAATCAAAAGATAGAATAGAGGAGGTTCGAAGATATATTTGATAGGTTATCAATATATCGAGGGTCGTTTGATCTAATCTAGCCAGCGATTGCAGTAGATGTTGAGCACGGTGTTCCCAATCGTGATCTGGTTCGGATGCATGACCGAGCTCCTTCAGCTAGGTGAGTTCATTAAAACTAATATGGTCAGCATCCAATGTCGAAAACTTACAGATCTATTTATTTTTGGGATTTATTTACCGCTACAGATCACTACACCCGTAGTGGGGTGGTGATGACTCTAAGACGTGGCCAGCCAGAAGCTTAGACTCAATGAGTTTGTCGTTGGTAAACACTCTTCTGATAGCTTGCTAGGTTTAGCAGCGTCTGGTCATCTTTCCTTACTATAAGGGACCATGAAAAACAATATAGTAAGAAAATAATGTACAATGAAAATTTTGGTTCCTCGTGAACGTCATCGTTCTTTTTATCGTCTTTTCCAGCCATCCTGAAAAAAAGAGTATGTAAGTGCATGTCGAAATAAACTCGTACGCGCTTTAAGACATAAATTGGGCGAAAAAAGGAAAAAAACTCAAGCATACTTAATAGCGCGAAAAAGGATTTTTATAATATGGTTTTCTTGTTTTGTTCTTTTTTTGAAATAAAACTATAAATATATAAGCATATTAAAATAGGTTTCTTCATACTACATATAGTACAAAGAGAAATCGAGATGATATAAAATATCAACTAGTAACTTACGTGCAATAGTCGTTTGAATGTTCTGGAAATCTAAATCTTCTACTAGAACGCGTTGTTTTAAGTTTATTTTCAGATACTGTCGAAGCATCATCGTGCGTGTTGGCCGTCGGATGAGTTATTATAAGTGTCGTAGTCGTGCCGTTCGATTGTACTGAAGGAAAATCGACATGGATAGGATTTCCTCCTAAATACGCTGTTTTGAGGCAATCGATGCTGATGCTATCTTTGGTTCCGTTCTTATCGATTAAATAGTACTTCGCTTCTCGTTGAAGAACTTTGAAAGGTCCTCCGTATGCTGATTGGAAAGGTCGTCGATGCGGGTCTCGACGTATGAAGACGTGTGTACTATATCGTAAATCAGGTTGAACGAAAACATCAGTTGATTGCGGTCGATTGGAAACAGGTCTAACTGAACGTATTGCGTTTGTAAGCCTGTTCGTGTAGGAGGTTAGATCCGTGTTCATTGAAGAGGATGAAGGATCAACGAATTCTCCTGGAAGTCGAAGTGTCGTTCCATAAACAAGTTGAGCCGCAGTGTATCCAATGTCAGCTTTCACTGCATTGCAAATACCTAGTAAGACGAGTGGAACAGCGTCGAACCACTGAGAAATGTTTGCTGCTGATAGTGAAGCTTTTAGTTGTCGGTAAAGCGTTCTACCAACTCGTTTGCTTGCGGGTGGTAGGCGGTCGTTCGGAAGCGAGTGATTCCTAATCGTGCAGTCAGACAACGGAAAAGTTCAGATTCAAACTGACGTCCACGGTCTGTAGTGATGGTTGAAGGGCAGCCGAAGCTTGCTACTCATCGTTCGACGAAGGCACGAGACACTGTTTCCGCAGTGATGTCCTTGGTGGGTACTGCTTCTGGCCATCGAGTGAAACGGTCTGCGCACGTTAAGAGATAAGAGTATCCATTTGAATCCGGCAAACGCCCTACCAAATTCAGATGAACATGTTCGAAACGAGCGTCGGGAGTTTTAAATGAGCCTAAGGGACATTTATTGTGTCTGATAACCTTGAATTTTTGGCAGCTTACACAGGAGCGTGCCCACTCCCTCACGTCTTTATTCATGACAGGTCAGCAAAACCGTTCTGCTATAAGCTTGATGGTTGCATGAACACCTGGATGAGAAAGTTTGTGCAACGTATTGAGGACGTTGCGTCGATAATGTTTTGGCACGACTGGACGATCCCTACCTGTAGATGTGTCACAAGGTAAGGTTTCCTGACCTGTTCCCATCTGTTTGATGTGTAGCTTGAGGGTTGTAGACGATAACTCGTGCCGA